TCCCCCGCCCCGCCCAACCAACACAAAACCAGGCCCCATCAACGACGCCACCTGCGAGGACACCGCCGAGGGCGTATCCCAGGCCGTCGGCGCGCGCTTCAGGCTCAACCGCCCCTGCACCGACGACGCGCCCGCCGACATCATCACCGCCCTTGACTCCGCCCTCACCGGCGTCGAGGGCGTCGTCGACGGCTCCCAGATCATCAGCTTCTCCCGCTGCAGCAACGCGGACGCCAGCTTCGCGTCGTATTTTTTCCGCCTCACATTCAAGTCCGACAAGCCCGCCGCGGGCGAGGCCCCGGCGTACACCTTCAAGGGGTTCTCGGACGCGCTCGCGTCGGTCTGTGACAGCCTGGGAGACACGCTCTTCGACGGCGACGGGTGCACCGCGGCGGCCCTCAGCAACGCGCCCCGCGCGACCACCAACCCGCCGATCCCCGACGAGTGGGTCGTCGGGCTGCCGCTCTCAGACCTCGCATCAAGCGACGGCGCGTGCCCGACCGGCGCGGAGCTGGCCGCGGCCGCGAAGGTCGTCGGCGCGGGCCTCGAGGCGGCGCTAAAGGCGATGCCGGGCGTGCTCACCGCGTCGGCCACGTTTGTGCTGTGCACGCCGCTCGGCCGGTCGCCGTCCAACGGGCTGCTGGTCGAGTTCATGTTTAACATCCAGGAGACCCACGCCTGGATGAGCGCCCCCTATTCCAAGGCGCTCGCCGGCACGTACGAGGACGGCGGCGGCAACCCCGGGGCGCTCTGCGAGGCCGGCGCAATCCCTCTACTCTGCAAGGTCGAACCGAGGGTCGTCCCGGACTATGCGTACGCGTTCGAGGACCCCCTCACCTGCCAGCCCGGCGGCCCCCGCCGCGTGCAGCCGACGAGCCCGCGGGACGCGGACACGAACGCCACATACGTCTACGCACTCCCCGACGCGCGCGCGGCGGTCGCCGCGGCCGCTTACTTCGACCCCAGGGCGCTCTCGCCCTGGGTGCTCGCCGCGCGGTCCGGCGGCGCGGGCGCGGCCTTTGATGCGACGTACGTATCCGACGCGGCGTTCGCGGGCACGGTGGTCAGCGCCAAGGGCGCCATGGTCAAGCAGGTCACAGGGCGCGCGCGGCCGGCGGGCGGGCCGACGGTCAGGAGCACGTACAGGATGCGCGCGGGCGCGAAGCTGACGCGCGCGGTCAGGCTGCGGGCGGCGGGCCAGGTGTCGGGGGCGCTGCTGCTGACCGCGAAGGGCGGCAACGGGGTCTTCAGGAATGACCGCGTGTCGACGGTGGGTCGGGCGGCTGGCCGGCTGGGGGCGCGCCTGCTTGTCAGCGAGGGCAAGGGTTGAGCACCACCTATATTCCTGCAGGACGGGCCAGGGGCTTGAGGAGGGGCCGCGCACCGGCCGCGCACCGGCTGACTGCATGTTTCGGTGGGGCAGTGCGAGCGGCGCGAGGCCTCACTTCATCCATGCATGCTGGAGCATGTTTTGCTTACATGCATGTCAAATCGCGCAAACATACCCTGCAGGTCGGTGTGCCTGTCACGGGCCCCATTGGCCCCAATTTTGCTGACACCTGCCCTGGTTTTGCGGACAAAGCTAACGCAGCAGCTGACGCGAGCACTGCATTCATCATTGGGACACTCGGCCAGGTGTGTGTGTGTGTGTGGGTGCGTGTGTATGTGCATGTGTGTGTGTGGGTGCGTGTGTGTGTGTGTGTGTGTATGTGTGTATGTGTGTGTGTGTGCGTGCGTGTGTGTGTGCGTGTGTGTGTGTGTGTGTGTGTCGAATGCACACCCGTGTGTGTTTGAGCGGACGTGCGGGCAGCGGGCGGATGTGCAAGCTCGCCTGCAATTTCACGTGCACACATGTGAGCGTATGCCTGCTTTGGCTGGCGCAATACTCACACCTTGACCCCGCAGCGCCCCTCCCTCAGCCTTCTTGGTAAGCCTCACAACCACTCAACCTCCCAACCCCACTCCTGCCGCCCGGCTCCCGCCTCACGGCTTACGCCATCCGCACTGCTGCGCCCCCCACTGGGCACCGCTTGCCTGCAGCTGTCCTCTATTTCCGTGACTGCGGCTGTGCCTGACGACGCAAACGAGCCGGACGGCACGAGTGTGTACAGTTACCTGGAGGTTGTGCTTTACGTAACCAACAAAGGCAAAGGGGAACCGGTGACACGCAATGATGTCATCGGGCTGGTCTGGCAACCAGGGCCGCACCAGGTGCGTGTGCTAGCTTGGAGGGCTGCAGTCTGAGGCTGGGGTGGTGACGCGCGCGCAGCAAGGAGACATAGGCACTAGGATGCATTTTTAGAAAGGTACGTGGTGCATCAGCGAGTAATGTGACCCACCAACAGCAGGTGGCCGCTTCCATTGGCAGCTTATTACCAAACCCCTGGCCTCATCACCGGCTCAAAACTCATCTACGCTGCCGGCATCCTGGACAAGCCCACCCCCCCACTAAGCACCACGCACGCACGCGCGCGCGCACGCACACACACACACACACACACACACACACACACACACGTGCGCCCATGCGCGCAAACAATCACACACAAACACACACAAAACAAACACTATGTTCCACTGCCCACCACGTGCTCTTTCCAAATCCCATTCGACACCCGCAGGACGATGAGTATGCAACTGACGCCAACCTGGCGGAGCAGTACTGGTTCCAGCGCCGCCGCGACCTGACGCCCGGGGTCGACGTGGATATGATGTTCGTGCCCTCCTACACATCAAACGACACCACGAACTCGAACCGCTACCCCACCATACAGCAGTACGTCTCCGGGCTGGCCTACAGGAACGCGGTGCAGAACGCGAAGGGCGACGCGAGCTACACGGTCCGCAGCGCGCGGCTGGGCAACTCGACGCGCATCCTCGGGGTCGGCGTCGGCATATCGCCGAAGCGGCCGGCGGACCCGGCGGCCGCCGACGACGCAGACAGCGCGAACCCGTCCGCGTTTCCGAAGCCGGGCGTCAATTCGCAGGAGCGCTCTTTCTGGGTGTCAGCTGTGACCCTGTCCATCCTGGTGTCACCAGATGACTCAGTGACTAAGGACTACGCAGTGGAGTTTGCCAGCGTCATCGGTGCTGCAACATAGCGCGGCAAGGGGCTGCCGGCTGCAGCCGCCGGTGCTGCGGCGGCGCCCGCGCCGCCTGCGCGGCGGACGCAGCTCGCGGCGGGCGGCGGGTGCGCGCGCCAAGCGCGCTTGTTGCACACGCGGTCTGGAAGTGCGTCCGCTCTGAACCGCACACCGCTCAGCCGATTGTGCTTTTTGTGTCGCTGCACCCCTGAGGGCTAGTCGCATACATATTTTATGGTTTATATGTACTCTGCTGGGGGCACACCCAGCGCAACACCAGTCGTGCTGAGTGGTGCTTTTCCAGCCTCAGCTGCTGCTCATAGGGTGGTTTCGCTACGGAGGTCTTCTGAGCACTAGAACATGGATCAGTTTGTGTGGTCATACGGGCATGCCTTTTGCATGGTATTATTTCGTCAGCTTTCTGGCATCATGCCAACTCGTGACGCCAAATTTGGGTGTCGTTGGCCGCAGGTCACGGTGCGGCCGCTCGCCGCAGGGCAGTGCTTCTGCACTGGCTCGCTTTTCTGCTGCGTGTGGCCCTTATCACTCCTTCCAGTGCAATCTGCAAACCACGGCTGCGCGGGCACGCACGCATGCGCAGCGCTGCAGCTTGGTGCTTGTCCCCGCGACCCACCTGGACCTGCGCATGCATGCCCGCATTGAGAGCATGCCGCATGCAAAGGGATTTCATGCGAGTGTCCCGCAGTCGCGGCCAAGGCAAGGACGGAGCATGCTCCGCAGGCGGCTGCCCGGCCTCTGCACAGCAGCTGTGACATCTCTACTCTCTCCGCCACAACCGGCTGGGGGTGTGCCGCCTGCCCTCGTTCAAGGGCCGCGCGGCCCCTCTCCTCCGACAGCTCCCTGCCAGGCCATCCTTTATGCCAAACCCAATGATTGACGGCTGCAACGAGCAGCAGTCCTGTAGCACCGTAACCATGCCGCTTCTGCCTGCAGGTTGAGGAGGGGTGATGCAGCGATGGGGCTGGTGCAAAGCAGGGTGAAAGACATCGGGGGCAGAGGCAAGGACCAGGCAGCACTCAAGGGACGGGTCGCAGCACGCCGGGTAACATTGAGTTGAGGCAGAGGAAGAGCTAGCGCCCCACTGAAGTAAGACTTGTTGTGTCATACTCTTGTGCGTATTAGTGGACACGGTTAGGCAGCACAGGCCACCAGGGCCAGCTGTCTGCCAGGTTTGCCCTTGCGTGTCCGTGTCGTTCGATGGCCGCTTGCTACCTGGATCAACAGTCACGTACTGCTGGCCAAGACCTGCCCCACATACAAAAATATGTCCCAACTGTGCAAATTGTCGGGCTGGCCGATCCTCTGTATCAATCAAGCCTCGGCCATGCCCCTCACAGCTGCTGATTTTCGAGGCGGCTGCGGGCTCCCATCAAAGACCGTGGTCAAACCCCAGGCAGCACCATTGCTTTGGATGCAGGTGCATCGGCCTGCACTGCCACTCGGCCAATTCATGCTAGGTATGTGTTCAGGGGCTGCAATCATTCTGGTGCAACGCCGTCCTTCTCCTTCGCATCCATCCGCCTGACGACATCATGCTGACAGCCAACAGCTCCCTGCGCGCCAACCTTTCAGGCGGTGACAGCTTCTTTCAGTACAGCCACGCCGATTCTTTAGGGCAGTTAGCGGCTTCTTGTCCGCCAAAGGCACAGGATCACGAGCTTTTCAGCAACTGCAAGCTTTTCTGAGCCGCGTGCCAACGTGGCCATCCTCCCTACAGCTGTTTCATCGTGATACAGAAAACATGCAGATTAGTGCTGGGACCTCCGGGAGGCTCGGTGCACACCAGTGGGGCGGCCGCAAAGCGGTGTGTCCTCTGCGTAGCACCACGTTTGCGGCGTCTAAAAAATGCCACGATCAGCTGAACATATTTGTGAATTTGCAGGCGGCCTCTCGGAGTCTGCAGGCCCGTTGCAGACGGCCGACGCTCAGGTGCGCCGCTGCTGACCTTCCCTGGACTGGTGTTGCTGCTTGTGGCCGCTTATGTGCGCATCCCGCTAACTCACATTGGTCTGCTGCAGGCCTGTGTGTAGCATAGCTGATACAGAAGCAGCGGGAGCTGCGACCAGTGCTGTGCCTGCGGTGAGCCGCGCGCTCGCATCGGGAGTTGGGCGCGTGCGCAGCACAGCTCTCGCGCCGCTCCTGTTTGCGGCCATCCCTCCGCTTTCGCCCCGCCGCTTCACCGCCATCCGCCAGAAAACCACCCATCGCACGCCGCATGCCGCGCACGCACGCCGCTCGCCGCACGGCACGTAGGCCGCGGCGGCGGACGAGAGGGCCTCGGCAAACGGCAATGGCGCGGGCCCCGCGTCCGCGGTCGCGGAGCGGCCCCGGACTCCAGCGGAGGAGCGGCAGGGCTTCCCCAGCATCAGCGGCAGCGGCGGCGTGGATGAGTACGAGGGCATCCAGATGCAGGCCAGCCAGCGGACGTCGGGGCTCTTGGTCAGGGTGAGCCGCGGCCGCATGCAGCAGGCGGGCAGGCGGCAAGCTCGGGGGCTGCAGCCCGAGAGAGCGGCCCCCAGCGCCCCTGGATGCCGGGATTCTCAGAGGACACCGCCAGTGGTGCCTGAGGGCAGCCGCAAATCGCAAGCTCGCCGGCCGCGCCCGGCTTGCCGGCCCGCGGCTGGCAGCTGGCCCGGTCGGCACGCAACATGGTGCCCTCTCGCCAACACGCAAATCGAGCACAACACAACCCCTGCCTGTCGCAGGTGCGCAACATGGTAAAGCACTTCAACACATCCAAGGGCGTCTTCAAGGCGGTCCAAGGCGTCGACGTTGATATCGAGCCCTCCTCGATCTGCGCCCTCCTCGGGCCCAGCGGCAGCGGCAAGACGACGCTGCTGCGGCTGATCGCGGGGCTGGAGGGCGTGACAGACGGGCGGATCTACTTTGACGACCTCGACGCGACAGATCTGGCGGTGCAGGACCGGCAGGTGGGGGGGCGGGGGCGGCCGAGAGCAGGGAGCGCACACTTCGGGGCCGAGGAGCAAGGCAGCGGCGGGTGCTTCGGGTCTGCAGCTGGACGATTCGGTGCGCAGCGTTTTTCTGGTCACGCCTCAGGAACATCAGGGCTCACTGTTTGAAGGCCAGGCGAGCGCAGCGGCTCGCTGCTGGGCCCACGCGTGGCGCCTCGTGGCCCCGTGCTGGAAAAGCAAACGGCGGTTGCCTCCCGTGCCGCAGGTGGGCATGGTGTTCCAAAGCTACGCACTGTTCAACCATAAGACAGTGGCGGAGAACGTGATGTTTGGCCTCGAGGTGGGCGTCGAGCCAGCGGGGCTGCGAGGGCGCACGCCGCTGCTGCGTGTGCCAGTGGCGCCGCTGGGCGCCGAGCGCCGGGAGCGCGGCGCTGGGAGCGGGTTGAGCTGGTGCTTTGTCCTGCCTGGGCGTTTTGGTGCGGGACACACGTCCTGTAGGGAGGCGGCTGTGAGCAGCAGATGTTTTGCATCTAGACAAGTAGATACCTGCACACATTGCACACGCGCGCACACACACACACACACACACACACACACGACCCTCTGTCCGCTCTCCAATCCCTCCATACACACATCCAAGGTCCGCAAGCTGGACGTCGACAGGCGGAAGCGCGTGGAGGACCTGCTAGAGCTGGTGCAGCTAACGGGCCTCGGCGACCGCTACCCCCGCCAGCTCAGCGGCGGCCAGCGCCAGCGCGTCGCCCTCGCGCGCGCGCTGGCATCCAACCCGAAGCTGCTGCTGCTTGACGAGCCGTTTGGGGCGCTGGATGCGGTGGTGCGGAAGCAGCTGCGGGCGGGGCTCAAGGAGATCGTCCAGACGGTGAGCAGCGCGCCACCACGACGTACCGCTGTGTTCTCCGGGGCAATTGAGCGTTGCGCGGCGTGCGCGAGCAGCGGCCAGGGCCGGGGCTGGGGCTGGGGCCCGCAGGCAGGGTGGGGCTTCCGCAGTGGTGCGGGCCGACGGGGGCCTGCATCCGATGGGGGCCTGTGTGGCCGCGGAACAGAAGTGCGTTGGGTGGGGGACGGCAGGAGCCTGGCGATTTAGGCGTGCAGGCCGCTGCCTGCTGGCCTCTGCGTGTCCTACGCCTCTCTTTTTTCGGCTCACCGCAGCAGGCAGCCATGTATCTGCGTCACCCGCCTTCCCCGCTCCCGCGATCCCCCAGGTTGGCGTGACGACCATCATCGTGACTCACGACCAGGAAGAGGCGTTTGACCTGGCTGACAAGGTCGTGATCTTCAACCGCGGCTTTATTGAGCAGGTGATTTGGGGCCGGGTCAGCGTGCTGGCCAGGGGGCCGCCACGACTCGCCCGCTTTGTCGCTGTAGGGGCGGCGTCTCGCCCGCGCCATGGGGTCAAGCCTGCTGGTCCGGGCGTGCAGCGGCCGCCTCGTTGCTCTGTCAAGCGTCCCAAGCGCCGGTTGGGCGCCGAAGCGCCTACTGCAGAGTTTGACTGGCCGGTCCGCGCCGCATCCGATGCAGATCGGGTCCCCCACAGAGATCATCCGGCGCCCGGCAACGCCTTTTGTGATGAAGTTTGTGGGCGACACAAACGACGTCCCCGCGGCCTCGCTGCTCGTGCGCAGGAGCAGGTGGGCTGTGGGTGCAGCCTGCAACTCAGCACGCGTCGCCGCTGCAAGCCCCCGCTGCTTGCACACGGCTCACCCCGCGGCCGTCGCAGTTTCCACCTTGCAGCGTCAGCCCCCGTTGCTTCCTACTCTCTCTTCTCGAAACGCAAGCTCTGATTTCTGACAACCTCCCAATTTCCAATATCCTTTCATTTCCTATAGATTCCTGACCTCCAAGAGCCGTGTCATGTTCCGCCCCAGCGACATCCAGCTGTTCACGGAATTCGTTGAGTCTGTGGACGGCCACCTGGTGAGATGCCGCACCGCCTCAGGGCTCGCACGTGGCCCTTCCGGGCTGTATCAGGGCTGACCACAGCAGGCGCCCTGGAGCGCGTCAGGAGACCTGGGGCTGCAGTCCGCTCCCCCCCCCCTTCCCCACCACTCGCCAAGCACGCTCCTCGGCTTCATTGCTGACTTGAATCCACCCTCAACCCCGGCCTTCCTGAACCTTCGACGCCGCGCCCATGCCTCCCCGCCCTCCCTGATCCCCCAGGTGACCGGCGCGACCGTCAGCGAGCGCGCCAACCTCGGGTGGACCGTCCGCTACACCCTGCGCTTTGACGATGATGTGGAGGTTGAGTACTCTGTCACACGGGAGCAGGCAGACGGCCGCCTGGGCCTCGACATCGGGCAGAGGATCTACCTGTACGTGAAGCCCGAGGCGATGATGGGCTTCGAGCCCGAGGACATCGACAGCGCCCCGATATTGTGATCTGGTGATCTGGGCTGCGCGTGATCTGGGGGAGGTGCTCTGCGAGGCGGGGTTGGCCCTGCCTGGCGCAGTTGTTGTCGAGCTGTATTGCGGAAAGCTATGTGTGACCGGGTGGGCAAGGTCAAAAGAATTGCCCCTTGACGGCTCTGTTTATTTGCATTATTTGCAAAGTCGTTTGCGACGTCGGGCGATTGCTGTTTTCACTTGTATTGGAACTTTCTGAAAGGCGGCAGCCTGCTTGCGTACGAGGCGGGCGTTGCTGTTGTTGAGCTGCCATTCTGCGTTGTGCTGCGGCTTGAGGACGCCTCGATGCCTGCGGCATGCGCAGCGGCCTGGCATTTGTCACTTGATGGCACTGATGTAATGCCCTTGACTGCCCAACAGAGTTTACAGGAGGCTTGAGGTGCATGGGTGTGGACGGCTAACGTACGATGCAAGTGTACGACTGCCACTCCTGGGGATGAGGGGAGGGGGGACTTGGGCGGGGCCTGGTGAGGCGTGCAAGCGATGCTTATGAATTTGACGGGTTGGCTATGCGCCCAAGCAAATCACGTACAGGTAAAACCCCTGCGTCGCAGTCAAACAGGGGCGAGATCAGACGCAGTTGCTAGTGTCTGGACACGTCCGGCGGCAACGCAAATTCAAGGGCATTCAGGTGCGCTCTCAAGTGCGGGTGCTCTGCCACCTAACCAACTACGGTAGTCCTTCCTCTTTGCTGGGGTTTCGCGCCACTCGAACGGAAGAGAGGTGGGGCAGCTTCGGTTTCGGGTGACAGTGCTCTAAACGGCTCCGAACTGACCGCAAAGCACTTCTCAACACTCCGATAGAAGATTTTTACCGCCTCGTCCAGCCTGTGTGCTCGGGTATTGTAGCGTTCTGTGCGGCACTTTCTGGACGGCGAAGCCCCTTGAAATCAAGTGGCCCCCGCCTGATGAACTTACAAAATCATTGAAAGCGTGATAGATCACCTCGATAATCTACCTGACCCGTATTCAAAAGACTCAGACCGAGAGCCCTGGACTCGGCCATAATACTCTGTCGTCGATGGAGCCCGCGCCGGGCTCCGCTCAGGGCTTGGAACGCCTAGGACCACTAATCCAGGTGAAATTCTGTATGTATCGTTCTATGGGGCAGGCAAGATCATGCCGCACCGGACGCGTGCAGCACTTCGCGGACAGGACTGCTGGGCTTCAGCTGTGCAAAGCAGGGCAGCCGCGCCGGCACAAGCTGAGGGAGGGGCTGCTGCTGGAGCTAACAGCATACGTTGCACTGCGGCGGGCGCCGGTCAGTCATCACTTGCACGGTCAGCGAACCAAGCCGGTTTTTCAAAAAATCAACACGAGGTGATGGGGACGCGCATGGCGCATGGCGCAACGCCGCATGCGCGCGCACCTTGCCCTGATACGCAGCATTATGCGGAGATTCGGGCTCTAAAGCTTGGATCAGCTGTCGCGGTGCGCCTGGCGCCTGGCCTGACGAAGGCGCAGGCAGACGGTGTGGCCAAGGAGGCGGCGGCGGCCCTGCAACAGGGTGGTGATAGCGGCGTAGCCCCTGACTTCCTGGAGTTGATGCAGCAGCTGCAGCAGCAGCAGCAGCAGCAGCAGCAGCCACCGCCCCTGCGCCGCAAGCTGCACCTGGCTCTGCGGCACGACTGCATGTGAGCTGCGTTGGGATGGCTCGCACTCCACTTTGACCAATTGAATTGAGGCCCCCATGATTTTCGTCACACGCTGCCTGGATGGCCACCGATCAGCAACGCGCCCAGTGATCCCCTTGCCCAACGCCTCTCTGGTTGGACTCAACACCGAGCGACATCACCCACCTTGCCCCATGCGCCTGCCCGTAGGAGCAGCGGCTGCTCAGATGCCACGTGCGCGCTCTGCCAGTTTGACCCCAGCCGCATGTGCAAGCGCGACCTCAGGCAGAAGTACATCATAGACGACCCCCTCAAGGCCAAGTGCAACGCGGCGCTGCGCATCGAGGTGAGTACTGCCGCCGCTGCGCGGCCCCGCAACTCGCCTGGACACGGGTGAGAGGGCTGGTGCGTGACACGTGCGGCCGAACTTGTCCGCGGGCAACTGAGCGTTGCTGTGCCAAGCGTCCCGTGCGTCGCGCAGGCGCGCGCCGCCCGCCGCCACAGTTGTTGTTGTTTGGCCGGATGCCATATTTGAGTCCTGAGTACACGTGTAATCAAATCAAACATCCCCTGGATTGGAACAGGTGGTGGACGAGACTGGAGAGCTGTTTGACAAGCCTCTGCCTGGTGGTGTGCAGCTCGAGGTGAGCCAAGGGCCTGCTGCAGGTACTGTAGCAAATTAGCAGCGATGAATGCGTGGCCGCCTTGATGCTCAGTAATCGATGGATTTTGACATGCCAAACAAACATGGCTTGAGATATGTTATGTCATGGGGTGGCTGTGCTCCTTGGTAGTCTTTCTGTGTGCAAACCATGCCTTTGAAGCCGTTCCCTCTTCACAGACAGAAATGCTCATGGTCCGCGCCCAGGCGTGCACACATGCAAACATGCCCCCCCCCCCCACACACACACATGCCTGCATGCATGCATGCATGCATGCATGCATGCATGCACATATACATGCATGCCCATATCTAATCATGCGCACGTGCTAGCACCCATGCATGCCCCAATATGCGCCCTCATGCAGGTCCACATGCTCAATGGCGAGCGCTACAACGAGCTCTGCGCCGCCGCCGGCCCGCGGCCCTCCCCAGACGAGCTGCGCGACTGCGTGCTGGCGCCGCCGTCGGACCAGCGGCCACTGCTGCGGCGGGATGGCGGCGCGAACGTGGCCGAGGACGGGCGCATCATTCTGACCCTGCAGGTGCGGCGGGCGCAGCGGGGGCAAAATCGGTGATCGATATCTCCTCTATGCGAATAAGTCTCGGGTTCCAACGCGCCAGTAAGCAATTAGTTGCTGCGGCCTGCAGGCCTGTAAGCTCTGCTGTTTGCACCATGTTAAACATTGTCTGTTGCATGCCACACGTCCTGATTGCTCCATGCCTTGCCAAGCACCAACCAAAAGCACCAATAATCACCCTGTCAGTTTGCACGCACCTCGGCGCCCCTCCCTTGCACCACGGCCCCACCTGCGGCAACCTGCAGGGTGGCTGCGCCCTGCTGTCTGACCTGCGGGTCACCACCTCCAGCGAGGCGTTCCTGCTGGGCAAGGCGCCCACCTTCCGCCTGCTGGTCTGGGCGGCGCGCGGCGGCGGCGCCCACGATCCCGCGGTCGACTACATTGTGAGCGAGGACTTTGTGGTCGCCACCAAGCGCGTCAAGCACGCGATAAAGGTGCGCGCTTCTGGTCGGTGGGCCCGGCTGTCTTTGGGGGCGTCCCGGCTGACGGCGGGGCTCCGGAAAAACTGGGTTGTATGCGAATGGATGAGGAGGATGCGGGGGCTTGCTCCTGGGGGACTGCTAGACCTTCCTGGCCTCGAGATGTTGGCCCCATGCCCGTGGTGTCACGTCCCTTACCATGCAATACTCCTCACGCCTGCCCGCGCCCACTCGCGCGGCCACACCGCCCCGCGCGC